GCGCCCTTCAAACAGCTTGGGCATGCACGTCCTGGCCCACTTATGCGCCGCACTGCGAGCAGAAAAAAATGGCATTGCACGCGCTCGCAAGTCTTGGCCCAGACTCGGCGCTGAGCCGAGGCGTCAAAAGGGAGAGGTTAGAGAATCAATCGCATCCATGTTCGGGGATGACCTCTCGCGCCAACGGACCAAGGAAGGCTGCGTAGTGTCGGAAGTTATCCGCGTCGGCACATCGACGGCATCCAAAGAAATAGTGCTTGGCTGCGGTCCTCGATCGAGAGGGCGCGCAAAATCCTCGGCAGGCAATGCGGACTATGGGGGCAGCAAACAGTGGGATGGCGAATCTACTAATCACCTGGTGCCTCCACAACATATTTGGGGATCACTCAGGGCGAACGTCAAGGGGTCGATCCGAGAGCCTCGCATTCAATACATATATGACAAATATCCCAGACCGCGGCTGCCAGCGCCTAAGATGGTCATGGAGCTTACTGCGCGCCGCTTTCCAATGAGCCGTTGATGGGCAGTTGGGGATGACGAGTAGGATTAACTGTCAGCCTCGGGCGTGCGATGACTAGTGGGCCGCTTCCACCACCGACGAAGTCTGCGCGCTAGGATAAACTCACCAGAAGCTAGAACGCACGAGCCCCGCCCAGCTCTTCCTGGAGGACCGAGCAGTGGGCAGCACACCGTGCTCGAGCGGCCAGACGAGCATGCTGCGCGTGTCGCAGCTCCACACCCCCTCCTCCCCAAGTGCCGTTACTCCCTCCACCAATGCCTTAGGCGCGGCATTCCGCGGACCCGAGGCCAGCATCTGCGCAGCGCACCAGTGCGACCAGGGCTGGCGCGCTTCACATCCAACGCACGGCCAAGAAGACGGAGCATGATTTCGCCTCTAGCGTGAGCCGCGGCACCAAGCCCAATCGTCACACACAAGTATGTCGTGAAACGAGCAGTCGCGATTTTTCGCGAATGCAGTCCCAGGGAATCACCAGGTCCCTCATCTGCTGCACCAGAACTTCCCCGACTATAAAAAAAACGCGTTTCTGCCAGTTTAGCTCAAGCCTCGCAGGCCTGTCCAGGGCCACCAGAAGCTTCAACATCGGCCCCGAGCCCGCAACCGCCATGCGAATCGAACAGATAAGGTCTCCACAGTGGGGAAGACGGCGACCCGCGGCGCTGACTGCCGCGGCGCAGCGACCTTACAACAGAGGGCCCGTGGCTAGCGCGAATAAACACATGCTAGATGGCCCCCCCTGCCTCACTACTCTTTCAGTAGCAGCCCCAATGTCTAGAACCTTCCCCCCCCCACCCCCCATAGTTGAGGCAGTGTGCCCTGCGTGCGGGGCGCCAGAGACAGCGCGGATCGCGCGGTGGATGCTCCGGCGCGCGGGCGCGGCCAGTGTCCAAGCTCCGTGCATCGACGGACATGCAGCGGCAAGAACTGTCAACGACTGCATTAGATGAAGCGCTCCGCTGGGATATTGTTTCACGCCCCAGGCATCCGCATTCGCTATCTCAGAGGTGACCTGTCTCCCCCCTCCCCCCCTCCGGTCGGCGCGCACGGTATCTCGCGCGACGTAATCGAGCGCGGCCCCGAAGGCTAGCGACGCACCTTAACGCCGGGGTCGCGCTGCGTCAGGCGCCAATTCATCTCTGGGCCCCTGACCACTCCGTGCGCCGCATGGTCGGGGATCGAGCCTCTGGTCAAGAAAACTGCATACCGCGCGAGCTACTCGATGCGATGCCATTGCTGTTGTCAAACAAACCCTTCACACCTATCGAGTAGCAATTCGCGCCCTCCTTCTCTTGCCATGCTGCATGCGGCCCCCCGCCACTCGCAGGCGCCGTGCAACGTCGCCACATCGCGCATGCATGGTCCCAAACCGCGGAAGCTGAGTCTGGATTCGGGCCGCTTCTGCGGGCAAATTGCATTTTTCACCCGACTATAATTGCCTCAGAAACTTCCTCCAAGAGCGCAGCAAGATGGCGCCCCCCCTCCTCGCTCCTCGGCGCCGGCGCAACCGTCGCCGTCGAAAGCGCGGCCCCCCCTCAAGATCGTCCGACGTTTGAACTGCAGCCAAAAAACATGCCCCATTGCAATACATGCCTTTTCCGCCCAGCTCCTCATCGCTTCTTTCGCTACTCCAGGCCCGACCGCCCCCCAATCCCCCCCCGCGCCCACTGTCGTTCGACGCGCTCGACCTGCAGGCGGCCGGCGCGCGCGCCAAGACTAGCCGCGCGCGTGCACCGCAAAGACCCCACATCAAAGTATGCCAAGCGTGGCACAAACAGTGAACGCCCGAGGTTAAATCTGAAACAAACGCCCGTACCTAACGCCGCGGATCGCATTCATAGTCGAAGAGTGCACGTCGAGCAGGAGCGCAGCCATGCGATTTCGGATGGCCCCACGGAGCTCATGAACGACATTCTAATTCATCTCCACGGCTATCTTCAAACGTCGGGTAGCCGCAATGTCGGATGGATGCGCCAATAGAATCGCACCGACCTGCTTCTAAAACTCTGGCGAGCGGCGCGACCGCGCGATGGGCCTCCGTTGGGTCTGCGGCCCGAAACACTGAATCGATGGAACGATCGGTCGGTGGCCCGAAGGGCGCTTCACAATCAAGCCGTAGGAAGTAGCCGCGACATCGTTTCCAGTGAGCGCCCAAACTCTGGTCGTCGCTGCACACTCGGTCCAAACGCGAAGCGCGCCGACGCGTCGCCGCAACATTCCAGCCAAGTCGCTTCGGCTCGTGCAGGACACTTTCTAGCCAAGAACTGCGCAGTCGACTGAACGGGTCGCGGCGCCGTTGATCCCCGCCCCGCCATGTCCGGCCATCCCCCGTCATCATTTCTGCCCACCAATGCGCAACATTCCAATCTTCCACCATCGCATTCAGAGAACAGGCGCTGCGCGGCATAGCGCGCTGGATGCCGCGCAAGGCCCGAGCAGCAGCGGGCAAACCCCGGTCTGCATTTGGCGCGCGACAATCCGCGACCACGAGCCACCGCCGGTGGCCAGACGTTCGCGCAATCAAGACCCCCCGCCCGACGCAGCGCAATGACCCATGACCGAGAACTGCTCGCGCGAGCGGGCGCTGAGATACGCGACTGCACCTCTAGCGGCAATCGGTTGGAGAAAGCTAGCTCCGATAACGCATCCGCGAAACAGGCGCAAAGGGGGCTCGAAATCTCCCGCTCGCACATGGCGCAATAATCAGGAACGCTAGTCTAAAGTTTCCAGACGCCCCAGACAGGTCTGCTACCAGAGCTGCGACAAAAAATCTTCAATTGTTTGAAAGGCGATGTTGGCTTTCTCTTCTTAATTCGAGCTGCAGGCAGGCTGCGGAGCTGGGGGGCGCGCCGTTCGAACGGAAAAGATTAGGGGCGCTTGTCTGGGGCATCGAGACGCCTGAGATCGGTCTGCTACCAAAGCTGCGACCGAAGAAGAAAAACTATTTGCACCGTAGATTGCGCGCGCCGCGACGGCCCCGCATCGAAAGGGCGCCCATGCCCAGCATAGACAGCGAACGCCCTCGCACGAAATTGAACTGACCATGCCTGGCCCAGCGGATAGCACTCATGGTCGGAGAATGCACGTCGACCAAGGACACAGCAAAACGATTTCGCGTGGCCGCGCAGATCCTAAAGATGGCACTCCAAATCGTGTCCTCGGCTATCTGCACGCGTCGGGTAGACGCAGTGTCGGATAGGGGCGCCAGTATAATCGCGCGCGCTGACGAGCTCCTGGAACTCTGGCGAGCGGCGCCGGCGAGCAGGGGGGGCCCCGCTGGCGCTTCGCATCCAGGCGCGGAATCGAGAACGGGCGATCGGTTGGCGGTCAGAAGAGCGATTCACACGGAAACCGTAAGGTTACAGGTGACAGCGCAACCAGCGAGGGTCGCGCTCGGGCTGTCGCTGCGCACTCGGTCCACGCGCGAGGCGCGACGCCGCGTCGCCCCAGCATTCATCTGGGTCGCGTCGGCTCGCAAGAAATACATTCTAACCAGGAGCTGTGCAGTCGACAGAAATGTTCGTGGAGCTCCCTATCCCCTCCCATCCATGTCTGGCCATCCCCCGCCATCCTTCCTTCTCCCCAGCAAGCGAAATTCCAACCTCCAACCATCGCCTTCAGAGGGCACGGTCCACATGGCATGGCGCGCAGGATCGCGTTCAAGGCCCGAGCAGACGTGGGCCAACCCTGGCCTGCATTTGGCGCGCGAAAATCCGCGACCGCGCACCTCCCCAGACCCCCGGAAAGTCGCGCATGAATGACGCCCCCGCCCGCCACAGCATCATGATCAATGGGCGAGAACTGCTGGCGCGGGCGGGCGCTAACCCGAGCGAGCGCGTCCCTCGCGGCAGCCGGCCGGGGAAAGCTAGCTCCGATAGCAACGCCGCGCAACGGGCGCGAGAGAAACTCGATATCTCCCGCGTGCCCGCGGCGCTCCTGCGCGCGTGCAATCTCGTGCTTCTGACGCAATGCTCGCGCCTGTGAGCATTCAATTGCGCGCGTTGAATTGCCCCCCGCGATCCTGGCGCACGATTTGTTCGCGCGCCGAGCGCGCGAGGCCACGGAAGGAATGGCACTGCGGGGCGCTCCGTATCTCCCAAGAGCCACTAGGGGCCCCGCTTGGGTCTGGCATTGGATAGAGCTTACAGCCATCACTTACACGCTTCATATGGGTATGAAGTGTAACTAGCCGACTGGAAGGCGAGAATGCAATGAGCTGCGCGCGCATCGCGCCACTCGCGGCCGCGGCGCTCGCATGTTCGCGCAAGCACCTTCCTGCGCGCGCCGAGCCTAAATTGGGGGCGACGACGGCGCCCCTCACCCGCGGCAGCGCGCGCTGCATCCCGAACTCCAGGAAGGCTTGCTCAGCGCTGGCGTGGTCGATTCTGTCCCCGCCCATCCTCGGTCAGTCGAAAGCGATGGGGCGTTCCTCCGGCCGCGTCGCCGAAGCCATTCAAGCCGACCTCGCGCGTGCCAGCCGCGCACCCGACACTGCGTTCCTCGCGCGGCCCACGGCCGCGAACAAGCGGCGCGCTTGCACGTGGATGTCCCGCTGAAGGCGCAGGTCGCACATGATGTCTTGAGCGATCGGGCTCTGGCACTGGACGGGGCCTGTACTCCTGAACGTCAAGAAAATCGCTGCGTTCGTGGCTGCGAGAAAACCGAAGGCAGATTTCCTTGTCAGATCGGAACGTTTGGCCTTGATGCTGGCGTGGCCAGCTTGTGGCGCACGCGGGTAACTTACCTGCCCCGCTGCACAGCGAAACGTCCTGCCCATGAGTGGCGGTTCGAAACCGACGAGGGTCAAGCGGCATGCCCCCTCATGCGCTGGATGCCCTGCCGCGTCACCGCCACCTCCACATCCGCGACTGTTGTAGCCCTGCATCATGGTGTTGGTCTTCTTTTCGATCTCATCCACCTGCTCCTGGACCCTGCTGGTGATCGGCGCGCTGACGCCCAAGCCCATGAGATGGGGCAGTATGTGGCGCACATGTGTTTCCCACCTTCGTCGACCGCTCCTCAACTTCCTCACGCAGCTCCACAACTATCTTCTCCGTGGCTTTGAGCGACTTAGTGGTCTCTTCGCGCAGGTCCTTGAAGACAGCTAGGACGGCGGCGCTCAGAATATACAACGTCTGCGCATCACCCCGGACATGCTGCACATTCTTCGTGTGTGGCGCCATTTGGAAAGCTAGTTGTGTAACAATATCTTTCGTGCTGCCCAGTCCCGACACCATCGAACCACCACTGTGGCTCCATGAAAAGCTGGGCGTGGCTGGTGGGCTGCGCCGACGAATCTTCAGGCTTGTGCTTCTCCCGCTGCGGGTAGCCGACGCTGAAAGCGAGCACGACGAGGATCGCTTGGTGCGACGAGCTGTCTTGCCACCTCGCCCCATCACTTCTGTTTCCGCGCACAAGGTGCGGCGGCACTGGCTGGAACGACGCGTGTTTTGGCAATCGGCTCTGGGAGTCCCTGTGCCTCGGAGAGGTGATCCTAAGCCCGCCCCTTGAGGCAACACTGCTTGAACCAGCATGGCCTGAGCCAACATAGCCTGAGCCAGAATGGTTACGGGAGGGGCATTTCGGGGCAGTTGTTGGATCCGTCTTGGGAGCATCCTGGGGCATATTGGAAGTCTCTTGGGGCCGGTTTGGGGGCCCTCTTGGGGCCGTACTGCGGCCGTTTTGGGCCCATCTTGTGCAGTCTTGCGCCTCTTCGGGTGCTCTGCAATAGTATTGAGCCCCTTTGAAGGCCCTCTTGGAACGTGTTGGGTTCATCTTGGGCCGTCTTGGGGATCTTTGGGGCAGTCTAGAGGCCAGCTAGGTCGTGCGGACCGTCGTGGGGGCACGGCTCCATAAGTCCCCTCTAGCTCATCATCTTGGACCCCTGTTAGGGGCGTTCTTGGGCTGTCTTCGGTGCATCTTCGGGTCCTGTTGGGCAGTCTCGAAACCCCCTTGGGGCTCTGTTTGGCCGCTCTATGGCGATCTTTGCAAGCTCTTGGGTCGTCTACGGCTTTCGGAAGGGCGAACGTGTGAGCCTGATGAAATCCTTTAAAAACCTTAGGGCGATGTTGTTCGCCTCTGGGGGAAGTCTTGGGGCTCCTCTTGGGATGCTCTTGGGGCGTCCTGGAATCATTCTGGGTCATCCTTAGCCTGTTCTCGGAAATCTTGGGGCTTTCTTGGGCCGTCTTGGGGCTCTTTTGGGTCGTTTTGGGCTGGTTCGCCACGTGGTGGCGATGGTGGCGACCTCAGTGGGCCCGCGCTAGAATCACTCCAGTGTAAGGTGTCTCTCACCGGGGGTGGACAGAACGCCGCTTAGCAAAACACCCCTCCATGGACGAAGACCACAACTGGACCCGGCAGGCGCAGACCCGCAAACATGCGGCCGCAACACTCCCTCGAAGAATCGACGACGGGGCGGGGTGGGGGTTCTCTCTATCCGCCTCCCGATCACTGGGCCCGCACCACTGTCACTCTGGCGAAGGCTCACTCTCACATGTCGCCGATCCCTCCCCTCGACCCTCGTTGGGCCCGCACAAGCCAGCGTCCGGGCCTGGGCAGCGGCGGCCGTGCCGCCCCGGTACTCTAGATCGCCCCTTCCGGCCGCCACGGCGTGCGCCAGCATGGCGTTCCAGACCGCCTCGTCTGGCACTGGTGGCAGTGGCGCCTGCTTCATGGGGGGAGGGCGAGGGTGCCTGGTGTAGAAAAAGAGAAACGGCATAAACATAAACGTTCGATCATCTGTGAGGATCGCCAACAGTTTATGTTTTATGTTGTTTTCCTTCTTACATGTCAGGGGCATATGTCGAAGGGACGCCAGCTGGAGTTCCCCTAAACTTCCCGAGACTGCCAAGGCCAGCTCTCATCTTTGAGCCTTTGGCCGCTGGCCGCTTCGAGGCCCCCTCATGCGCGGGGCACTGCTCTGACGGTGTTTCGCCTCAGAGCCAGGGCCGTGCACTGTTGGCTTCCAGCAATTCCACCCACAACGCTTGATTGATGGGGCACAAGGTGTCAGGAACATCTACGCCAGCATGCAGACACGGAAGCGTGCGCAATAATACAAGCGCGTGCCACATTTCTCGTGTGCGCGTGGGGGGGGGGAGGGCGGGCTGGCCCAGCATAGTCCAGGGGTGGGCCTGGCCGACGTAGGGATGGCAAACATGTGCACCAAGACCATGGCAGGACCCGGCAGGCACGAAGTCTGGCAGACGGGACCGACGCATGTCCGTGCGGACGGGACCCTATGGATAGCCTCGCAGTCTGGCAGACGAGCCACCGAAGCCAAGACCCTGTGGGCAGGAAACCACGGGCAAACACGGCGCCCTGGCAGCCGGAATCAGACAAGAACGGTAGCCTCCGGGAGGGATGGGGACCACGCGGGCGTAAAAGCGAGGGCCACGAGGAGCGATGGGCCTGCGGGCTGGACCTCGTGTGCCGTGCGGGGATCACTCAGTTCAGGACCCTAGGGGCGGGGCCCGATGGGCAGTTCGAGACAACGACATCTGGCAGACGAGGGCAATGACGATGGCCGCAAGGCCGATGCATCGGCGATGCGGCACGCTCGTCCGACCTTATCTACCCCGTCCCAATGGTTGTGGCCATTGCGTGGTGATGCCGCCACATGGCTCCAGAAGGCCCAGAAGAGGCCAAATCCGGATGCAAAATTATGACTGAGGACACAACCAGAAACGATACGGAAGATAGCTTCCTGCCGCGGGGAGGGACTCTGGAGATGATGATCTTAAAATCGCAATGGCGACGCCAGTGAGCAGGCACGGAAGCCAATGTGTGACTCATCGCCCAGGTCGCGGCTGCGTGACGGACACCCCAAGCATTTCTCGTTATCACGCAGGACATGAAAGTCTGCCGCCTTCTCTTTCTCCTCAGTCTCCCTCCAGGAAGCGCGAGTTCCTGCCTGGATGCGCGTACAACGTCGCTCGGCTGGGCATCCCAGGAGCCCTCGACAGTGCCGACCGTTGCGCAGCGCACAGCGCACAGGCAGCGCGAGAGGGGAGAGGGGAGAGGAGAATGGCGGAGGACCACGGAGACCAACGGCGCTCCATTCAAAACGAAGACCAACCTTTGGAGGGTTAGAGAACCACTGCCACCTCCTCCTCCTTTTCCTCCTCCTCTTCCTCCTCTTCCTCCAACACTTCCTCGTCGTCTTCCTCCTCCTCTTTCCCCCCCACTCCTCGTCCTCTCTTTTCTTCCGCCTCCCTCCTTCTCCCTCCTCCTTTTCCCTCCTCCTCCTCCTCCTCCTTTTTTCTAATATTCGTCTTCACTTCTTTCTCCGATTCCCTCCACACTCCGTTACTGCCCCGTCCTGCCACGCCCGCAAGGGGGGACCCGCGCGGGGAGAGGGAAACGAGTCCGTCCTTGGACGGCCAGGCTCGCCTATCCTCCCTTCTTCCTCACCCCCCCCTGGGGGGGTGGGCGGAGGGGGGGTCTGTGCCCCGCTCCTCCGCTCCTTGGCTCCTTGGCTCTCCTCGCTCCTCGGCTTGGCTGTCCCTGGGTGGGGGTGGGGCTCGGGGTGGGGCGGGCTCGGGATGCCCCCCGTTTGCCAGGCCCCCCTGGCGCGGGGTCCCTGCGGCTTACTTGGGGGCCCTCCCCCTTCTGGGGCCCTCGCCCCCCCCCCCCTCTCTTGGCTCCTCCTCTCTCTGGGATCCCACAGTCCTTCCCCTGTCTACCCGCCCGGTGGGGGGGCGTGGGCAGCGGGCAAGGGCGGAGCATGGTCTCCGGAGCATGGTCTCCAGCCCCGGGCCCGGGCCCGCGGCGGCGGCCAGGAGTCGGATGGGTGGATCCCCGATGCCGCCGTCGCGGGTGGTGGCGCGGGTGTACCCGCGAGCGTTGTTGCTGCCAGCGGGGTCAAGGCGTGCCTCCCCTTTTTGAGGCGGAGGCGGGAGCGCACTTGCCGCGCACGGATAGCCTCGGCGAAGGCATATCGCTTATTTGCGGGCAGGCTGCGCTGTTTTGTTTTGGGACCTCGGAGACTCCGACTAAAGCTCAGTCGGGTCATGGCTCCTAGGTGGCGGCTGCGCCACCCTGGGGAGCCTGCTGGACATTTGTCCCTTTCATAGCATTCCCATAGCATTCCACCCTCTCCTCTTCTTCCTCCTCCCTCATTCTGCCCCTCCTCCTCTCCTTCCTCCTCCTTCTCCCCCTCCTCCTCCCCCGCCTCCTCCCGACTCCCTATTCCTGTTCATCCTTTTTCTCCACCTCCTCCTCTTCCTCCTCCTGCTCCTCTTACTCCTCCTCCTCCTCCTCCTCCTTCTCCTCCTCCTCCTCCTCCTTCTCCTCCTCCTCCTCCTCCACCTCCTCCTCCTCCTCCTCCCCTCCTCCCTCCCCCCTCCTCCTCTTCATCCTTTCCTTTCCTTCCTCCTCCTCCTCTTTCTCTCCTTCTGTCATTCCTCCTCCTCCTCATTAGCCTCCTTCTTCTTCCTCCTCCTCTTTATCAGTTCGCCTCCTCCGTGTCCTCTTCTTCCAACCCTTCCTCGGCGTCTTCATGATCCTCCTCACCGTCCTCCTTCTCCCCAAATTCCTCATTCCTTCCGCTCCCTGCTCCTCACTCTCCTCCTCCTCCTCCTCCTCCTCCTCCTCCTCCATCTAGTTATGGTGTTTTCGTTTTCCCATATCCCTCATACTCCTCAAATTCCTCCTTCTCAAAGTATCCTCCTGTTCCCGTTCCGCCCCTTGGACAGCCAGGCTCAGCCAGCCCTCTCCCCCTTCCGCCGTCATCCTGTTTTCTTGGCACGGGGCCCCCTGGGAGCTCGACCTCTTCCCCCAAAGGCCGGCTCCTCATCCGGAGCAACTTGGTTCGACGGTCCACACAGCACCCGGGAACCCGGAGACGACCTACTCGGAGGCCGAAGGCGCCCGCACAACTGGCCGCCGTGATCTTCTGCGGCGCCCAGATCCAGGCGACGCAAAAGGAGGAGGCCTCACTTCGATCTGAGGCCTCCTCCTCCTCCTCCTCCTCCTCCTCCTCCTCGGCCTGAGACCCTCTGGCGCAGGCGCTATCAGCGCGCTGCTTGAGTTAGAATAAGCACCAATTGCGGACGTCCAACGTGCTGACTATGAAACAGCAGCAGGCGGCGGCAGGGATAGTACACAAGTGCCTCCCCGATCGATCAGAGGCCTCCCCCTCCTTCTCATAATGCCACCTTCCCTGTCCGCATCGCGGCGTCCCGGGTCAGACCCCCTCGCGCCCGCCAGAGCAGGACCGAGGGAGGAGGGGGGAGGGAGGAGGCTCGGAGGAGGAGGAGGGTGGCAGGGAGGAGAAGGAGAAGGAGAAGGAGGAGGAGGAGGAGGAGGAGGGAGGGAGGGAGGGAGGGAGGGAGGGAGGGAGGGAGGAGGAGGAGGGGGATTTTTGCTCGATGCGCGAACCCCGCTGTGCTAAGCCTGGGACGCACGGCTGGCGCCGTGGACATTCACCTAGTTAAAGGGGAGGGGGAGAGGAGAGAGGAGGAGAGGAAGCGGAGGAGGAGGAGAGGAGCGGCTCAACGAGCGGCTTCAGATGCCGGCGCTGCACTTTCGCTGCCGCCGGGGCCATCCGGCAAGACGACGAGATCCCCAAATTTGGCGTCCATGGCCAGCTCGCCGAAAGGCTGGGGCCGGCGGTCGCCCAGGGACTCACCAGTGCGAGGGTCCCGCGACTCCCACAGCCGGTTGAGACGGAAGGCGGTCGCGCTCTGTCTCGCGACGCCCCCGCGGCAACCCTCCGCGAGCGCCCTGGTGTGGTCGCGCGAGTAGCACCCGCAAGATGCACAGAAAATGTAACCACCTACCGTCCACAGGCGATGGCGTCGTCCACCCGCGCTGCAGCGAGGAGGTAGGTGCGACATCTGTGTGCCACTGCGCAGACACCGCACACACCGAAACCTGCCGCAGAATTTGATCACATCGTGCCTGCCGTCCTGCACGGGAAAATCAGCAGTGAGGACAGGAGCGGCCCGGCTGAAAAGCTCGCGGCTGCGTTCCTGCTGTGGGAGCGGCCACACGTGCAAGAACCTACCGAGGTACTGGCCCACGCACTGCGCCAAGTTGAATGCCCCTACCACCCTCCGCTCCGCAGCGGCATCGCTGGGATGTGAGCGGGCGCCCTTCCGTGCAGCAGCATCGGCTTCCGCGTTGCCGAGCCGAAGATAGCGGGCGTTAGAGCTAGTGTCGTCGTCGCTGGCCCTGGCATGCCCTTTGACCTTACGGACCCGCACCTGGAACTCGAAGTCGTCAAGGGCATCCCAGATAGCCGTCCACAAGTCGGCTGCGACACACCCGGCATGGGTGGTCTCCCAGCGCCCTTTGGCGAACGAGGATACCACCCACTGGCAATCAGAATAGAAAACAATGTCCGCCACTCCGCGGAACCTCATGCATGCCAGAAGGGCCCATCCCTCGGCAACCTCGGAATCCTGCACGTGCCCCGGCACGGGCCCGTATGCTAGTGCCGTGACCGTGCCCGACGGCGACACTTGAGCGAGGCCCCAACCCGCCCTCCGCAGAAGGGGATCCCCACTCAGCATGGCAAAAACGGATCCGTCACCAAAGACATCGCCCTCCAGGGTGCCGTCGGCGGGACGCACGTCCCACGTCGCAGAGAAGGAGGGAGCAGGGCGAAGGAGGAACTTCCGGGGGTCGGGCACGAGCCCATGCCGCCATAGGCACCAATCT